TTAGTCTCAGAGTCTTCTTCCTGGAAAAGATGACCTCTAGCATAACATGTTTGTTCATTTCAAAATTCTTACTGCACCACAGCCAGAATTATGTCAAATCACATCTATTTTTTTCTTCCTCAGACTTAGGCTAACACTGTATTCCCATATTAAGCCTAGTGGGCCTAATGTAGAATTGAATCCTGCTATTAAAATTTAGTGCAACTGAAATTACAAGTGGTAGCAAGGAGTGGAGAGAAGGGAACCCTCATGCCCTATTGGTGGGACTGTAAATTGGTGCAGCCATGATGGAAAGCAGTACAGAGGTTCTTCAAAAATTAAAAATAGAGCCAGCATACAATCCACCAATTCCACTTCTAAGTATTATCCGAAGAAAATGAAAACACTAATTCAAAAGGACATGTGAACTGCAATGTTCACCACAGCATTACTTACAAGAGCCAACATCTGGAAGTGTTCATCAATAGATGAGTGAATAAAGAAGGTGTGGTACATGTATATGATGGAATATTACTCAGCCATAAAAAAGGATTAAATTTTGCCATTTGTGACAATGTCAATGGACCTAGATATTCTTATGCTAAGTGATATCAGTCAGAGAAGGACAAATGCCATATGATTTGACTTATATGTGGAATCTATAAAAGAAATGAATAAATGAAAGAAAACAGAAACAGACTCATAGATACTGGAAAAAACCTGATGATTGCTAGAGGGAAGGGGGGCTGGGGAAGCATAGAGATGGATGAAATAGGTGAAGGGGACTAAGAGGTACAATCTTCCAAGATATTGGGATGTAATACACAGCATAGGGAATATAGTCAATAATTTTGTAACAACTTTGTATGGTGACAGATAGTAATTAGATTTACTGTGGTGACCATTTCATAATGTATCTAAATATCAAGTCACTATGCTATACTTCTGCAACTAATACTACTGTATGGCAATTATTCTTTGATTTTAAAGAAAGAGTTAATACAACTACTTGGACAAGGAACCATTAAAGTCTCGATTCCACACAACTTTTTATAACCTATAGAAGCTGAATCCCTTTACCCTTCACTCTTCCTCACCTTCTACTCCAAGTGGGACTCAGCTATTCATTGTAAAATCCAAGAAATAATGACCTCTGGTTGCAGAAGGAGAAGAAAAGAATGATATACTGGCTTATCTTTGAAATGGTTTGAAGGACTCTCCTATCAATCTTCAGAGGTATAATTTTAAAATTCATTTGTTTCTTTGATTTGTTGAGTACCTTTTCTCCAAAGGTTCAAAACTTAAAAGATGTTTTTAACTTGCTCCTTTTTTTATTCTCTAGAAGTGTGAAAGACTATAATTTGGAGCATGAGTCAGATACATCCCACTCCCTGTTTTATTTTCCTCTGCTTAGAAAACCAGGTACTTTCAGAAAGGTGAAAAAATTAGGCCTAGTTCCAAATTCAACTGTGACATAAAGTTTGTCTATGACAAGCCTCTTCCCTTTTGTAGTAGACTCTTTCCCTTTGTGGTGTCCCTTCCTCAACTCTGGGACCTCCTCGGTCCATTGCCAGCCTCCTGTCCACCCCTCCCTACAGCATCCCTTTTCTCCATTATACAGATTTCCCTATTTTCCTGTTCCCTGTCCATGACTCAAAGTCAGTCTGATGGCTTCCACACTGTCTGTTGTCACTACAGTGGAAACTTACTGTTCTTCAGCTCATCACCCAAGGCTAAATTTGCTTTCTTAGAAGGCAATTTTGCCTGGCTCACTCCTGGTTGATAAGTATTTAAATAAATGAATGAAAATATGAATAAATAAACTGCTCTCCCATTATGCACCACTTAGCACCCATCCCCTCCGACCTCCCCCCCATCCCCCGCCACCGCCACCCATTAAGTGTGTATTGTTAGGGGCATGATGAAGACAGCATGCTTTCCTTTGTAGCATGACCAAACTAGGTGAGTTGGGAGAGGCCTCCCATGCCACGTGGGTGTTAGAGTGTTGTGTTAACACTGTGTGACTGATGCTTTGGTATCCAGGGCTTGCTCACTGGAGAGATTGCTCCTTGCAGGGCCAGCCAGCTGCCAGAGTGTAACAACTCACCTGCTAGAGCATCTTTCATATGCCAACCAAGCAATTCAGAGCCAACCCCAAACACCTCCTTTACTGAGTTCTCACAGGGCTCTCATGCTGGGTCACCATCTATCTGCCCTAGTTACCCCAGGGTCAGGTTTGAGACAGGGAGGGGCGATTCCTGTGCTCTAGAAATTATTCAAACCAGCCAATCCTAAGCCTGCTTACCCTGCTTTCCTGTTCCTTCCCACGGAAACCATCATCACTGTTTTTGCCCATATTTTCCCCTTGCTCCTTCTGCCTCCTGACCAACCCTGGTCTTCCCATGTGGCCTGCAGTCACTCTTCTTGGGAACTGTAACTTTTCAACAGCAATTGCCCCCTGATCTGTTGGCCTTAGTCTACCTGAACAGTAATAAAGCTTTAGCTATTTTTCATTACGGAATCATTCATTGGCCCTAGTTGGCAAGATTGCCACACCTTTTCTTTAAAGTGTGGAGGAAGTGGTGATCTTATGATACAGACATTTTAAAACAGTTATCTCAAATACTTTTTTAATCTCCAGGGTGAGATTTCCCATGATAATTATTTTAAGACCCTGTAGGAAACATCTCTTTTTCCAAAATTTCTGAAAATTGGAGAAATGAGTTTTACCCAGAGAAGGCAGAGTAATAGTAAGTTAAAAAGTAAAAGTAACGTCAGACTTTACTTCTATGTATTATCACTCTGCAATATCAGAAAAAAAACCCACTGTGAATTACTGTATTATCCTCAATGAACTGAAGTTCAAAGACAGGTGGCTTTCCTAAGGTCACAGAGCCACATATGCAGAAGAGGTAAGATCCAAACACAGACTTTCCCGGCATTCCTCTGAATCATGCCTTTCTCTCATTCCTTCCATTGTAGTCTTCCAAATCTTCCAATATCTTTTGTAAAGTTGTATCGCATAGGATCACCGCTTTCTTCATACTTTAAAGAGAAAGTGTGGCAGTCTTGCCAGCTAAGGCCAAGGAATGATTCCATAATGAAAACTAGCTAAGGGGTATCTAGACATTTCAATAATAATATGGCCTTGGAGAAATGTATGTAGAGTCTTAGGAAGATATTACCCCAAGACAGAGAAGATCTAGAAATTATAGAACTTTATAGTGCTAACTTTCTAATATTAAGTCTGATCTTTAGTGAGTGAATGAGAACCTTTAGAAATATTTTTTGCAGGAGTTCCATTCTTTGGTCATGAATCCCTAGAGCTACAAAGAACAGGACTGGCTGTGATGAAAACAGGCAAAAATTTCTTGCAGTTTTGGAGAGCCTTATACTGAAGAAATAATTCAATATCATAAAGACAAAAATAAGCATACAAAAGGCAACACATATAAAATTGCTATTGAATGTCATTAAGCAGCAAAATGCACTGTAAAAATGTGAAGATCTCTGTGGTCAGTGTTGATCACAGTTGTCAAAGGAAACACAAGTAAAATAATTGAAAAATTGACCCAATATTGAACAAAATATAGCTCACAGGAATTCATCCTGTAGCATTTCCTAAATTCTTACTATAGTTTAGAATACCACTATTTTAAGCAAGAAAGAGGGAAAGTTGAGAAGGAGGTAGAACAATAATAAACTGAATTAAATGACTTGGAAATTTTTTTAAAAAGTACAAGAGTTGGATAATGAGTACAGAGAAAAAAAGAGTGTGGGTAAGGGTTTTAAGAGCAATTAGCAAGAATTGAAGGCACCATTTGGATATGGTGACTGGCAGCCGTTGAGAATTTCCTTGGAGTGTAGGTAAGAAGAAAGACGCTTATGTGGCTAGATGACCTCAGCCGGGTATCGGGGAGAATTTCCTGACTGAATGTCAAGAGCTCTGGTTCACGGGATCAAAGGGAGGCTTCTGGTATGTGCCTAGCCCAGGAATATTTTTCAGCCTCAGGCAAGATACTGGGTGGTTTTCTGCAGCTGCACGGGTGGACTGGATGGCCTTCTCAGAACCCACGGGCCTCATGTTGCTGAGTGCACGCTTTCAGGGTCCCTGCCAGCTGCCGACCCCCAGCTCGGAGGCTGTGGCGTTTTCCCCACAGAAAGGGACAACTAAGCCTTTCACTCTCCGTTTCTCCCTCGGACCAGCCCTTCAGTGCACACTGTGGTTTTTCAGCTCTTCAGCACTTAGGCACTTTCCTTCTGCGCCAAGGGCCTCCTGGGAACAATGTAACGTCTGTGTGTTGACAGTAACAGCCTGTGGGCCAGAGACTCTCAGCCAAATTCTCCTTCCGCCCCGCATGGGCTGGAGTGCACACCTCACCTGCAGTGATCATGCCTCGTCGGCCCTGGCTGGCCTTGCTCCCAGTGCTCCTCTGCTCCCAGCCATTCCCAGCCTTTTACCTCATTCAATTCCTACCTCTTCTGCCACATTTGTACCAGTTTATAGCATTTATACCATTTATACCCCATGCAGAATCATCTCTACCCACCTCCCATCCCACGCACAGAGAGAACAATAACACATTAGTGGCTTATGGCCTGGCACTAAATAGTGGGCACTGGAGGGTGAGGTGTTACGTATTGCTTAGTTGGGCAGCTGGGTATTTGCAAAAGGTTTGGCCTGCAAAGAGATGCCAGTCTTTTCCTATAACGTTATTGCCTTTTATTTATTATGCAGTTATTGATTTAGAGGGGAGTTAGGAATGCTAAACAAGCATCGTATTTTATACATAGTCTGTTTCTGCTGAGTTAAGAGACTTGGAAACATCATTTAACTCTGCCAAAAAAAAAAAATTCCAGAAAGCTGTTTAAAACCATCCCTTTGTTCTTGGGTGAGAGGGACATGTGCTTATGAGGAAAGTAGTTTTAACCCTTAAGTAATCCTGAAAGAGAAGAATTTATGATGTATGTAAGTCATGTGCAGTGTACAAATGCAATAATAAATGACAGATCAGAACAACCTCCCTCCTTCTTAGGGCATCACAGTATCTCTCAAAGGCTCTATTCCATAGTGTGTATGACAGTGCATGGGCCTACGCAGAGAAGAAGATGGGATGGGCAAGTGAGAGAGTGTACAAAATTCAAAAAAAAGGACAGAAGCTTAAATGAGATTTTAAGGAACAGGCTGGAGCTGTGTGTGTGTGTGTGTGTGTGTGTGTGTGTGTGTGTGTGTGTACACATGCCTGCCCCACGGCCTGGCGATCCTGATGTTCAGTGTCTCTGTGGTTTGAGTTGCTCTTTTTAATCGATCACACTGTTGGTACTTGGTAGTACGCAGAAGTATCAGAATCAGAGTTCTGCCTTTAGAGTCTTCTCTTCTGGTTCATGATTTTCTCTCTGAAAAATACCATGACACTGATATTTAGATCTGGAGGCTGTTTATATGGAACTTGTTTCCCATTATACCATGAACAGAATGATGATGTCCAAAGCTCAGCTCCTTTAAATAGGCAAGACCGTTCCAAATGTGCTTTTGTAGTTCTATTCCCAAGGCTCTATCCTCTCACCACCATCTCCTCATGTGCCCTTGTTTTTATTTCATTGAAGTATTGTTTATATACAATCTTACATTGGTTTCAAATGTACAACATAGTGGTTCAACAGTTACCCATTTTATTAAGTCCTCACCCCAGCTAGTATGGTTACTATCTATCAAAGTAGAAATATGTTACAGAATCATTGACTGTATTCTCTGTGCTGTACTGCTGTCCCCATGACCAACTTATATTGTGGTGGTGAATTATTGTGCCCCTTTATCCCCCTCTCCCTCCCACAACCTCTCCCCCTTCATAACTGCTAGTCACTCTCAGTGTCTGTGAGTCTATTGCTGTTTTGTTCCATCTGTTTTGCTTTGTTTTTATATTCCACAAATAAGTGAAATCATATGGTATTTGTCTTTCTCTGCCTGGCTTATTTCACTGAGCATAATACCCTCTAGATCCATCCACATTGTTGCAAATGGCAGGATTTCTTTTCTTTTTGTGGCCAAATAATATTCCATTGTGTATATGTACCACATCTTCTTTATCCAGTCATCTACTGATGGACACTTAGGTTGCTCCCATATCTTTACCTCTGTTCTTAATCAAATCCAGGAGAACTCAAAGATTTTTATTTGACAGGATAAAAGGACATATAAAGGAAGAAAACTCAGCTTGCTTCACCTGAAGTCTCTCACTTACCAGCCGTTCCCCTTTCAGGAATCCATCACAGAAGTTTTGCACATGCTCCACTGAAACTTCTGCTATGGGCAGAGCATCCCACTCCTCATCCACAGTCTGGTAAATAGCCAAAGCAGGCAGTTGAGACTCCTTTAGTTTGAAAAATGATATCACCTTTCCATTTGCCTTCACACCACTGTTCACCAGGATAAAAAGAATCTGCATTTGGAGAAATTTGAAAGAGAAAGAACTATTTGAGGTCCTAAGGAGAAAGGAGACGCTTTGTAACTGCTGTAGTTGACCCTGATTGAATTCATGGGCTGTGCTACACAATTCAAATCTCAATGAAGTTAGAATGAATTTCTTCTTATTTTGCACTGCTTTGGCATTTTATCTCTTGATCAGGTTTGTTTAATTTTAAGAACGTAGAATCAGAAGCAACTTTAGTGACTAGCTAAGTGAGAAAGTATAGCTTAATGGTTAAAAGCAGAGAATAAACTTAAATTTTGCCTCTGGTAGTTTCTAGCTGTGTGACTAGACACAGCTGCTCAGCCTCTCTGAGACTCAGTATTCTCATGGGCAAAATGGGTTTTTGCTGGGGGAGATAAAATGAGAGGATGCATTTAATATTTCTAGTACAATTTAACGTATAGTAAGTGTTTGATAAATGTTAACTGTTTTTCATTATTAAATGAAACCTTCTACCTAAAGTAGAAATCTTTATAATAGTCTATATAATATAATTTATATATTATAAATAAATATAATTAGCGGATCATCTATATTCAGTAACACTGAAAACTTCTGGCATAAGGGAAATAATCACCAGAAAGTCAGCTTATTTTATTACCAGACAGTCCTCATCTTTGAAGAGTTCCTTAGTTCAATGTAGTAGCTTTGAAGTGGTTGAAGTTTTATTATTTCAATGATATCAAGCAGAAATTCACAAATCAGGGAAGGAAAAGAAATAAATATTGATTGGAAATCTAGTAGGCAGCAGGTACATGATAGATGTTTAGACCTGATGTCTAAAACTTTAAGAGGTTATGTCAAGGAGTGACCACATTGTGACAAATAGGTGATTTTTATTTTCAGTATCATTGGATCTCTGTTTTCTCTTCATTTATCAATGCAGAAGAAAAGAAGTAGACTTGTCATTAAGGGAAGGCATGATTACATTGGTTTTAATAGCACAAAATGCAAAATACTTCATTTTAAATCGGAGTAATGTGATTTGTTATGTCCCATTTCTTACATTATCTCTTACCTATACTCATTTTTCCTAATTTCTCTCACTTCTCTGGCCCCACTTCCCTTATTTGAGTGTCTTGGCACTGAATATGACAAAGGGTATCTCCTATTCCAGACTTACCTTCCCCTGGAAGAGCTTAGCTGCTTTCTGGTATCTGTTTATGCTTTCTTCATACTCTGGAGAGGCCTTGTTCATCATTAGTAGAAGATGAATCTGAATCAGGCTATTAAATAGGCCAATCACTGTCTGGCAAATTGAAATGTATGATAGTCAAATGAAAGAGAGAAGGGAGAAGAAAATTAGTGGCCACCCAGTAAATAGGTAGACTGAAACATAAGTGAGAGCTGTCCATCTATAACATAAATGGTAACTAGCCTCCAAGATGGCTCTGGGTAAGTCTCAGCCTTTGGTTTTCATGCAGCTGTGTGGATCCCTCCTCCCTGCACTGAACAGGGCTGAGCTGAGTAACCAATAGGATATTGAAGAAATGATGGAATGTGACTTCCAGGGTTAAGTCATGAAAGACAGTGGCTTCTTCCTTACTGTCTCTTATATCACTTGCTTTGGGGAAAGCCAGACCCAATGTTAGCTAAGCAGCCCTAGGAAGGGATTCACATAGCAAGGAGCTGAGACCTCCTATGAAAAGCTAGCACCAACTTGCCAGCCATGTGAGAGAGTCATCTTGGAAGCAGACCTGTCAGCCCCAGTCAAACCTTCAGATGATTGCTCCCCTGACCAATGCCTGCAACAGGAGCTACCAGATCAGAAGCACCTAGTCTAGTCATTTCCAAATTGTTGATTCACAGAAATTGTGTGAGATAATAGCTTTTTTTTTCAGTTTTAAGCTGCTAAATTTTGGGGTAATATGTTATACATCAATAGACAACAAATATACCATGAAAAAGTAGTTACTTTTTCAGTCGTCTGTGTTATAAGAGCAGTCAGATACACTTCCAGCATGATCTTTGACTACATATTAGTAATGTATACTTTTGAATGCTGACTATGTGCCAGGCACTGTTTTCAGATCTTTCATATAATAACTAATTTAATCCTCAAAGTCACAGTTTTATAAATGAGGAAACTGAGGCAGAAATCCTCCCAAAGTCATGGACTAGGATTCACACCAGGCAAGCTGGCTCCAGAGTCCATGCTCTTAACCCTGAGGATGTACTGCCTCACACACAGATGATTGCAAAGTCCATACAAACATTTTTAACAAAAGTGTGGTTTTAAACCAGTCTACCTCAGATCAGTGATAAGATGAGCTCTTCAGGAGACTAGAGGCATTGGCTTCTTTTTTTGCTGATTAGTGATGGTGATTTGCCATAACGCTTTCAGTGATGAACGGCTGTGGGGCAGCCATGAGCCCCAGCGAGGAGAGGAAAGAGAGAGTGAAACTGGCACTGGCTCCCTTCCTTCCACTTTCCTGAACTAATGCTAAAAGCATCTCTATTTTAATCCTACTTCTTTTCACCTCTCCCTTCTAAATCCAGAAAGCATTGCTGTACGACTAATATGTGCACAGGAAGCGAGGAGAGTATGGTGGGTTAATGAACCATTGGGTATAGTCCCAGGATGGTGTGAAGAGGAGCAACTAGGCAGGATCCTTCCAGAGCTACTCTGCACTACTCTGTAGAGATTGTCCAACTCTACTGGCCAACATGTAAGCAAAGAGGACCCAAAGGATTCTTTCCCAAAACCTTCTCCCTGGAATTTAAAAGCACTTCTTAGATTTTAAATTTAGGAGGCTGCATGTTAAATAATTGTCTTTTGTTTTACTAGATTCTGCTACTTAAATTTAGAGCATGCACCTACCCTCCTAGAGCTAAGTTGGAAGATAGTTCTTGGGAAGAGGTAAGAAGTCAAAGCTAAGGGGTCTAAAGGTACAGTTGTCTTAGAAGGGACTGGCCATTGTAAAGTGCTTAGTTTAATCCTAACATACAGCCTGGTTTTTTACCTTGAAATTGAGTATTGAGTATGTGCATTAAAAATTGCACAATAGGCCAAATACATGGCTGAGTTTCTGGCCATTTGCTACTGGTGCACACCGCTGCACGAGGAGCAGATGAAAAATAGTTATAGTACTATAAGGAGATCTCCAAATAAGAAAAATACTACTTTGGGAAAATGAAAAGTCACAGTAAAAGCTGACCTTTGTTTTCTAAGGCAATTCTTGCCTGACTTTTTCTTGATGAGATTTGCTTTCACTACTAATGTGGAACTTAAAAAATGTGTCATTATTTTTTAAGATAGGAGATGGACCAGCCAGAAGAACTCAGGAAGGTGGTCCTTGCTCCTGCCTTAGTTAGCCTGCAGAACTCCAGGGCCATACATGCAAGGGCCATAACAACTATCTTTTCTGCTCCACGTGCACTCATGGCAGCTCTATAGATTCAATCACATGGTCTAGGAGAAAAATGCCTTTTCGATATTGCTGCCAGTACCCCCTGAGGTGTGCCTGTTTGGAATCTTAGCAAAAGGGGATATGGAATCACCACTCCACAGGTACAAATATGGTGTCAAAGGTGGACCGGAATTTAGTCAACAGGAAAAGAGGTGTTTCCTATTGAAGCTGTATGGGGCAATGGAAAAACCACAGGCTTCAGTCAGGCAGAGCAGTCATGAAAAGCAGAGACAAACAAGTACAGAGGGCTGTCTCTGAAACTTGAATTATAGGTATATGACCTTGAGGAAGTTACTGAACTCCAATTTCCTCTCCTGTAAAATGGAAACAGACAATATGAACTAATGCATCATGAGTTAAATTTTCTGCTTTCAATTATGGCTTTTCTACTTACTGTGTGATCTTGAATAAGTCACTTGGATCTTGAATGTTTTCCACTCTAAAATGGATTTTAATTTTAAATAGATAATAATTTCCTCTCCTCTAAATAAAAAAAAAACCAATGTGAAGATTGAATGAGAAAATGAGTGGGAAAGGGCTTTGTGTGTTCTAAAAATCATGACATGCTCAAAAAATACTGTTATTAGGAAGTGCCCAACATTTCTGAGTTGATGTAGATCACTGGAAATTAATTCTCTGTCACTCTATGATCTATGTCAGGGAAAATAAAAGACAGGACACACAAGGGAATTCTGTAAGCTGGGGTATGTTACAAGCCTGGAAGATTGTCATGACGCACGGACCAACACCTTCACCCAGGTTATATGCAGCACGCGACACCAGAGGAAGATAAACCTAGAAAGAAAGCTGAGTCGCTGTGAGGGGCTAGGCACACGTGGGTGGTGCCAGACCAAACACTGTGAGTTACTAGTTCACAAGGAGGTAGGCACAGAAAATGGGAAGAAGTGTTTATAAAGACATTTATGGGAATTTTACATTCATGTGGCATCCAAATATGTGATCAGTGGGCTTTATTTTTTTAATTTCATTTGTCTTTTAATTTATTGTATTTTATGAAACTATTGGTCACCAGTGCTTTAGGAAGAAAAAGGACCATCAGCAGGAATTGCAGTTTTGTTTGGGAAGCATGGTCCAGAGTGTTGCTCAGATCAGAGTTGCCTGAACTGAACACTCTGAGGCACCAAAACTCAGGTTTTTTTGAATAGGTCACTTTAATTGCATTCTGTCTCTCTTTCTTAGGTCATTTAATTTTTCTAATTCCTTTTCTCTCTTTATTGAATAGAGACAAGCCTATCAATTTTGAAGGGTTGTGGTAAGGATGGCAATATAAATGACTAAGTGTTTAGTTAATAACAGTCACTGTTGTTATTGGTCAAAGGATCAGAGAGCTCCTGGAGAAAAGGGTCTCTGCTGTGAAGACAAGTACCCTCCCTGAGACAGGGACTTAAGGGGCTGGAGAGAGAGACTATTATTGTTTACCACAGGGTTGTACTCTGTCACCAAGTGGAGGCTGTTGATCTCAATGAAACGGCTTAATTTGGTGGCATCAATGCTTTCAATGTATTCGCTCTCTAAATCCAGTCGTTCGTTATCCACCTGGGTAACACAAAGAGGATAAAACTATCACTGTTCTGTCTTTATTCCCTCACTGATAAATGTTTCTGGACTATTTACCACGTCAGGTACTAACTTAAGATCCAAAGACATAAAGGTAAATAGGAAGTGTTCCCTGCCCTTGAGGAACACATTGTCTGTGGGATTCAGAGATGTGAACAGAAATGTCTCCAGAATGTGGCAGGTGTCATCACAGGCCCGCATGTCACCTAAGGGGGAGCAGGAGGGCTTCCAGGAAGACGTAGCTCTTGAAAAAAAGCCAAGACTCGGTCAGATGAATGAGGATGGGAGGGAGTTTTAAATAAAGAATAGTATTTGAAAGGGCAAAAATATGAGAGATGACATATTCTGGAAGCTACTGTTAGTTTACCAGGAATAGAAAAGTAGGGAAGTGTGGGTAGGAGAGAGACAAGGTCAGTGCGGCAGGTTGAGGCAAACTTCTGAAGGGCCTTGAAGCCATTGCAAGTAGACTAAATTCTAACCTGAAGGCAAGGGGAGCCTTTTACATGATCAGATTTATGTTTTATTTATGGACCCTCTTGGTGTGAAATAAAACACAGAGAAAAGCATGAAGTAGGAAATGTAAAACTCAGTAAGTTATCACAGAGCAAATAACTGTGGAACCACCATTCAAGTGAAGAAATAGAGTATTGTCAGGATCCTGAAGCCTTCTGTGCTTCCTTCTAATCAAAAATACATTCTTTTCTGCCAAAGGGTGACCACACTTCTGATTTTTATGGTGACCATTTCATCCTTTCTCTTATTACCTCTTGCATTTCTAAATCTTGTTTAGTTTTCTAACATTATATAAATGGAAGCAAACACTTTTTTTATGTGTACCTTATTTCTTTTGCTTAACATTTTGTTTACGAGTCACCCATGTTATTGCATGTAGCTATAGTTTGTTTTCCTTGCTGCATAATATTCCACTGCATAAATATGCAATATTTATTTATTTTACTATTGATGGATATTTAAGTTGTTTCCAGTTTCTGGTTATTAAAATAATAAGGGAATGAACACTCTTGCTCATGTCTCTTGCTACATGTATGCCTATGTATCTGTTGACCATATATCTAGGATTAGGATTTTTGATTATAAGGTATGCATATTTTCAACTAGCAGAAAATGCCAAGCTATTTTCCAAAGTGGATAATAATTTACACTTGCAACTATATTGTTTGAAAGGTCCTGTTGCTCCACATCTTTACCAACCTTTCTAGTGTGTTATCAACCTTTCTAATTTTACTCATTTTCATGAATACTGGTAGTATTTCACTGTGATTTTAATTGCATTCCCTGATTAACCACTGTATATCCTCTTTTATGAAGTATCTATTCAAGTTGCTTGCCTATTTTTCTATTGAAATGTCTTTTTCTTGCTTTTTAAAAAATATATTTATATA